GTTACTGCAATCGAATTTGCTGATCAAAAAAAAAATTATCTGAGCAAACGATCAACACAAAATTCGTCTCAAAACTCTCAAATTCCGCATCTTAAAATGTCCAATCAATCAAATTTTAAAACGTAAAAATCTCAAATTCTCGAATTTACACTATTTAAATGTGAATCCAACTCAATTCCAATCGAAACTCTCCACCAAAATTCACCCAAAATTCCACTTTACCATCCTCAAAAGGTCACTAAATACAGCTGACTTTCGAGTGAATAATATTGAAAATCGTTATAAACAAGCACATAAACGAGCACTAAAACTAACTCTGCGTAGAATCCATGTTTGCAGAGCTAGGTGACTGCAGCGGCACCTCGTCGAGAGCGCTCATCTGAGCGTGCTCGTCGCTGGGTCCAGCCCCTGTGCCCACCTCGAGATCATCCGAGCCACTCAACTCGGCACTCTCCAGTTGGTGCTGCTGCTGCTGCTGATGTCGATACATTCCCGTCTGGTGCTCGTAGAGACTCTGCTCGGGCGACGGACTCTCCGGCGGCTGAAACACCCATCGTAATATTATTTATACTTTAATATTATTTATAATAAACAACATCAATAAATAACAGTAACAATAAACAACAATAATAAATAAAATATAATAAATAATAATATCAAATAATAACAAATAATATCATTACAATACTATATTTCTAACAATAATATTACGCTAACACTTCATTTACAATAATGAATATTATAAAAATAATTTAATATTAATAATGATACCAATAATAATAATAATAAAAACAATAAAAATAATAAATAAAAACAATAATAAAAACAATAAAAATAATAAATAATAAATAAAAACAAGCTCCTCACCTGCTCCCCAATCATCGTCGCAATAAACGAGCTCGCCAATTCCACATTACTCACTGCCGGCGGAGTCTCTGCATTCGCCAGCCTGTGGTCCAACTCTTGCTGTTGCCGTTGCTCTTGGGTCAGTAGACTCGTCTTGAATATTTTATTATTAATTATTTATAACAATAATAATAAATAATAATATATAACAATAATAATAAATAACAATAATAAATAATAACAATAAATAATAATATATAATAACAATAAATAATAATAAATAATAACAATAAATAATAATAAATAACAATAATAAATAATAAAAAATAAGCGCACCGACTGCTGTGACTGATGATGTCCAAACAGCTGACTGTCCACTGATTTAAATTCCTGAGATAAATCTACCTGAATTTAACATCTAACTTCCACACATGCCTTGCTCAGCACGCTTTTTAA